AATTAATCATAAATAGTTTAAAACCTGGTCGAAATACTTTTCCTTTAGCTCAACAAACTAATTTATTATTTAAGATGAAAAAATATGTATTCATCACCTTTAAAAGCAAGCTATATGGATTCAGTAAGTGATGCCAATGTACTGAAGATTGTACCACTTCATAAATTAGCATAAAGTGTCAGTTGTAAGTTTAACAAAAACAGCAACAGACAGTAGTAGGTTTAACTATATTAGATCTAGAGGAATCTAGAAAAATCTAGATCTAGATCTGCTAGGTTAAATTTGAAAATCCTGTGTTCACTTAAAATAGTTAGGCCTATAATCTAGATCTATAGATCTAGTAAGTAAACAAACAAGTAATAATCAACCCAGCAGTAAAGTTGTGTTTAGTAGGCCTAGGCCTATACATTGAATATAGTAGTGTTTTACACTTGACTATACTATACTGAACTAAATTGCCTACAATAATATTAATTAGGTGCCTGGCCTGCCCTAACTAATGCAATGTTACTTTTGTTAGGCCTACAATTCTCATATTTTACGTCTGTTTAGAATTTAGGACTGGGTGTGTATATTAGTCAATAAATCTTAGATCTAATCTAGATTATTGGCCCTTTTTTTTTACTGTCTAGGCCCCTATATTTCAAATATTTTATCAATAGGTGTGATTGTGAAGAACTGAACTGAGGTTTGTTGTAGATTTAGATTTTTAGATTGTAGATTATTGTAGAATAATGTACATTTAAAATCTATGTGATAGTATGCACGGGAATGGGCCTTGTAAAATTTGAATAAGAATGTCGAGCTGGAAACTCATAGCAATTGGCAATCATAACTCTAACAACAATGTATGGTAGCAGGTTAGACAACGATAAATCTATCATTCCCACTTTCAATTCCACGGTCTTCCTTAAACTAATCAAACATACAAAATGGCGGACAGTATTAAAAGATGGCTACTCGTCATAAACTATGGTCAATACAAATGCTTTGTTTATTCACCATGGAGCTGCAGTTAGAAAATGCATACTAGAAAATGAACTAAAAGAAAAATATGCTGATATATGATGCAGTGATTGGGTCGTGTGACCTTGCCTCAGGACACAATCAGGGCCGAATTAGGGCAAATGAGGTCTTGTTTTGGTATCTAGACACGAGTGGGGTCACTACAAGCAGGGCACGGAACTGGCTCGAGTCACAATCCGAGCATCTAGGCGAGTGCTGCACTTACCTAAAAGCAAAAGTTTTAACTCTCTCCTAGCATCTCGCTTATCTCTTTTGAGCTGACGTTCAATTTCTTGATTTATCCTTTTTTGCTCTTTCAGCTCATCTGGTATACAACAGGCCATAGCGCTGCTACTTTTACGAAGACGACTCGGGGTAAAGCGCCGTCTCCGGTGAAATATTTGCCAGCTAGGGCAGGAAAACCGTTATCCAACCACTGTGACGTGTTTTTAAGTCTCTCCAGTGTGAAAAGATGTAACAAGAAAAACAAATTCACAATAAAATTAAGAACGGCACCTCGCCGATAGCTGCTCAAAATTTACCAACCATTCGGCCGACTTGATAATGGAGGCACTCCAATTTTGCTTGGGTGTGGTGCAGAGGGAGTTTTTTCTGCCCGCCAGGTCAGCTGACGGTAACGTGTATTTGGTATTATAAAATTATAAATAATGCTTATTTATTCCAAGCTTTGTTAAAATCGAATGCTTCTACCAAAATAGAATTTAAAATGACCGTTAGATTTTGTATTCTTTTACATATTGATTTTTTAAAAATATATGTCAATTCCGATAACAGCCACCAGTGCTGAAATTATGGGATGTTCACTGATATGAGGCTGGTCAATGCATACCTAATGAGCCGGTGACCTAGCCTACTTAACTTCCATTGTGAAAAAATCCCAATGCTCTAATTTTAATTAAGATTTTGGTTTTACCAAGAAAACATTAAATATTAAGCATTTTTTTAAAGAATATAAAATACATGTTTATTAAAATAGTGTAATGAAAATTATATACAGTAAATTTTATAATAATTTTTCGCCTTATTTTATTTTAAATTGATGTTTTTTGTTAGCGGTCTTTGAATAAAATCAAAATACTAGATCTAGTAAGGTCCATACGTGTGATTCACACATTTATTACACCTAATTACCAATTGTAATAACTCGTTAAATCGGTTCAGTCAAACATCTTTATTAATGGTGAGTACTAAAGTAGGATTTGGTGAGTTTTTTCACGTAGATTAGGCTTAAAAGTTTTTTGTATTTATAGACAAATCAGCATTATTTAAATTAATGTTTATGACACAAATAATAGCATGCATATATATATATATATATATATATATATATCATGCATTCCTAGTTCTAAAAGGTATTTTATGGTAATTCATTCTTTAGCGCGAGAGAGTGAAACAGTATAACAAAGGTGTTTGGCTGTGAAGACAGTAATGAGCGTCATGTTTGGTATGTCTAGAAATATGTAATTGTGGGGTATATCGGTATCTTTATGTGTGGCTAAATATTAGAATATTGATATTTAGTAGCATTTTAAAACGTGCCGTGCACTGTTTGGACAAACAACGAGTATTATTTATTCACCGCTTTACGATTTGCATGTTAATTGTATTTTATGAAATTATTCAGAAAATAACAGTACTCGTGATAAGTAATACAAGCAAGAGATTTGTTATTTTTCTGAATTACTTGAGAATAATTATGTTGATTGCATAAATTAGGTTTACCTCGGTCGTAAAAGTTTGAAAACGAAAGAAATGAAATGTTGGTATTAAAATTGAGTAAAAGAATGAAGTTGTCATCGAGTGTCCTCTACCCCCAGCACCGTCAGGTATTGATCGCGTCTAAATATAGCACCACAGTAACTCATTCATAGCGTTCATACATAAGCATCTCAAGGCTTGGGCCTGAGATTTTCATATCGATCTTTCAGCCACTGTCTCTTTTTTAGGCAGTCACAGACCGCAGCAACGGTTGTTGGGTTGTTTGGTTTTAGCTACAACAAAACCCAAACGTTTTTGGTTAGGTTATGGAGTTTCGTGTGTACGCCTGTTCACACTGTAGATGGACATTTTTGTCGCGCTAGCATTTGGCCGAGATCAGTGTGTCAGTGGCCGACGCTTCAACCAGTGACGTAGAGCACAAATCAGGGGCTGGTATTCCAATACACAGTAAACAATAATCTAAGGTGAATGCATTGGTTACATTATTGAAAAAGGGGGGGGGGTATATTTGAAATCACGGTCAAGGCTTTCAAAATACACACAGGTTTCTTTTGGTTTAATTCAGATCCAAGTTGATGCAATCGACACGCAGCTTCATACAAGAAATAGTGAATAGTAAAGCTGTAAGGATTTAATTTTAATTAAAAGAGAAAATGTCAAAATTCACAGAGGCCTAATTGTTAAATAAATCACTGTGAATAATTTTTTAAAGGTAAAAAATAGCTGGGTCTAGTTACAGCAGTACATGTTTAAGCTTGCGATATTATAAACTAATTTTCTAAAAAAATGTTATAAAACTTATAATACACCGGTATTTTTATTTCAAATTGTTTTTTTTTAAACATTAATTGCTTAGACAACCCCTTTGACTGAAGATTTTAAAACAAGGGAGGTAGTCTGTCCAACGGGATACATTTTAACCGTAAAAGTTACTTCCCTTGTCTATTATAATTCGTCTCTGTTGGCATGCATCCATTGGCACTACACGTAGGCTTTACACACTTTGTTATTTCGTTGGAAGATTTTAAATAGTAGGCTATGGCCAAGCACTTAGTGAATTTTTCTTAATGTATAAACACCTATGATAACCTTAGTTAAAGGGGATGACTCCAAGGAATTGATAATGATATGCTGTCTTGATGTTTGTGATATGTAATGTGTTTGTTTGATACAAGTATGTACAAGATGTATGATCACATGTTTAAAACTGGACCAGTACTGGACATCTCATTGTGATAATGGATGGTGAGAACAACACACAGCAAACTGGTTGAGTCACAAGTAAACAGCTGATTGGTTAACATAAATTCCACTGAATCACTCCCTGCCATACCCCCCCCCCCCTTCCCTAGGAGAAAATGAACAGCTTTTTATTTTAATAACAAAAAATATTATTGTTTAGAGTATAGCAAGGTAATACAGTAATACCAATTTTTATGGCCTTTATAATTATTATTTTAGCCATACAAATACAGTTATTTATGTAGTTTTAGCCATACAGTACAACAAACATTTATGACATACATAATTTTAACCTAAAACATTTATGGCTTATTACATAATTTTAGCCATACAAATATTCATATCCTACATAATTTTAGCCATAAGACTATTTATGGCCTACATAATTTTAACCATAAGAATATTTATGGCCTACATGATTTTAGCCATAAGAATATTTATGGCCTACATAATTTTAGCCATAAGAATATTTATGGCCTACATAATTTTAGCCATAAGAATATTTATGGCCTACATTATTTTAGCCATAAGAATATTTATGGCTTACATAATTTTAGCCATGCAAAATTCAAATATTTATGGCCAACATAATTTTAGCCCTACAAAATTCAAATATTTATGACCTACATAAATTTAGGCATAGGAATATTTATGACCTACATAGTTTTAGCTTTAAAAATACACAAACATTTAGTTAGGCATATGGCCTAGACAATTCTAGCAATATAGCAATACAAACATTTATGGCTAATTCTGCGTGTTGCTACAGATTATGACTACATTAGCCTAGTTAGTAGTTTCTGTAAAACTACATGAACCCACCACCTAAAACATAATCGCATAGCCTAACTAACTAACTAGACTAGAGTTGATACATAACAAAATTAATACATATTCTAGATCTAGATCAGCTAGATTGCTAGAAGTATAGTCCTACTACATTATATATTTGGCATACAAAGGCCTAGGGTCTGCAGAAATGTGACAACAAAATTGTTATCTTATGTACTTACCCAAGAGAAGAAGTTTGAGCTCCTTCCGTGCATTGCTTTTATCCTTTCGTAGCTGTTTTTCGATCTCTTGATTGATTCGCTTCTGCTCCTTGAGATCGTCGGACAAACAACAAGCCATGTTGGCTGTTTGTAACTAGCTGGGGGTGTATCCTATGCAACAATCCAGACAACAAGGGGGGTCTGTCTCGTGCGCCCCTCGTCAATAGATCAACGCGAGTCTACACATAGAGTTTCCACAAGCAACATCCGACAAGTTTTTAAACAACACACTACAATGTCTGCCGCACGCCGCTACTGGTGTCTCTGCTGTCTGCGGGAAAACCCGAACGCATACTACACGGAGGAAGATAATAAAGCAAGCTGCTATTAATTAAATTCTAAGTCCTACAGTAGATCACAATAGCTGGCAACACCTTTTGGTACGCAGTAAATATTTGATCGTCTAAGTTTGCCTTCGTTTGTAAGAAGTTTTGATACGCCAGACATTGACTGTAATATTCACTTGACAAAAGTATTGTGGAGATAGCGATATATATTTTACTTATCATCTCTTTCCAATTAGGAGTGTGTAAGTGTGCGCGGGGGGGGGGGGGGGGGGGGGTACGAGGGAGAGGGGGAAATCGCCAGGGAAAGGAAAATTGAAGTTAAACTACTTATTAAAACTAATAATAAGACGAAGTCCGAAATAAGATTTTAAAAGACAACCAGCTTTTAGATATTGTTGAAAAATGTGTTAGCACGCATTTTTTAAACGCCAAGTGGCTACACACTGACCTACATCTGTTTAATGATGGCTACACACTGACCTACATCTGTGTAATGATGGCTACACACTGACCTACATCTGTGTAATGATGGCTACACACTGACCTACATCTGTGTAATGATGGCTACACACTGACCTACATCTGTGTAATGATAGCTTGTGTGTAATATGTGTATTGAGTGTCACTTGTGTAATGTGTCACTTGATGTGTAATGAGAAATATGTGTCACATGCTGTAAGGGTCACTTGTGTGTATTATGTGTGTATTATGTGTGCCTTGTGTGTATTGTGTGCCTTGTGTGAATTATGTGTGACTTGTGTGAATTATGTGTGACTTGTGTGTAATATGTGTCACTAGTGTGTAATATGTGTCACTTGTGTGTATTATGTGTCACTTGTGTGTATTATGTGTCACTAGTGTGTATTGTGTGTCATTTGTGTGTATTATGTGTAACTTGTGTGCAATGTTGCATGAATTTGACAAGTGTAATGTATATACTTTGATGTCGCATGAATTTGACAAGTGTAATGTATATACTTTGATGTCGCATGAATTTGACAAGTGTAATGTATATAATTTGATGTTGCATGAATTTGACAAGTGTAATGTATATAATTCGATGTGTATGAAACGTGTCAAGAATGACTGCTGATGTGTATGTGTGACACTGTGTGCTATGTATAAAGTTAATGAGAGGAACTACTGTGTCTCAATTTGATAAAATGGATGTGTCTTGTGCCACTAACTTTTGGTCCTACAGATTTCTATCTTACAGGTACATCTGAATGTAATCTTAATTTGTTTAATTTATTTTTTAAATTGCCTCTGGTCCAAGGGTGATACATGCTGTATATTGTCTGCTCCTTACCCCCCCCCCCCCCCCCCCCCCACAAACACAAAGTAGCAGACAAGACTTTAGGGCGGGGCTATCAGACTGTTTATGGGTGTGTCACAATGGATTTATTCTAAGTCCTCACCAAATATTTATCATTAGCAGAAGAAAGGGGAGGGGCTGGTGATCACGAATGGGAAAAAACCTGTGACCTTTTACTGTGAATAAATTAGCATTGCTTACACTTACAGCGAATACTTTTTGTGGGTGTAATAATTGCTGTTATCTGTCATACATTAAACGGTTGTTGGATACGGATGTTGAAACTATAGCTACTGTAGGAAATGTGGATGTTAGACAGCTACTGTAGGAAATGTGGATGTTGAAACTATAGCTACTGTAGGAAATGTGGATGTTAGACAGCTACTGTAGGAAATGTGGATGTTAGAACTAGAGCTACTGTAGGAAATGTGGATGTTAGAACTAGAGCTACTGTAGGAAATGTGGATGTTAGAACTAGAGCCACTGTAGGAAATGTGGATGTTAGAACTAGAGCTACTGTAGGAAATGTGGATGTTAGAACTAGAGCTACTGTAGGAAATGTGGATGTTAGAACTAGAGCTACTGTAGGAAATGTGGATGTTAGAACTAGAGCTACTGTAGGAAATGTGGATGTTAGAACTAGAGCTACTGTAGGAAATGTGGATGTTAGAACTAGAGCTACTGTAGGAAATGTGGATGTTAGAACTAGAGCTACTGTAGGAAATGTGGATGTTAGAACTAGAGCTACTGTAGGAAATGTGGCTGTTAGACCAACAGCTATTGTTGGCGTGTAAACTATGTTAAAACGGCTGGTCATCAGGCCAACGACCTTGAGCAGAGAACTGGGCCAAAGTGTGTGCATGTGTGCCACTGCTTTAAATTGTTGCTCCCCTTCAGTGTGAGCTCAACGGTCAAAGGTCAAGCGATTAACCGCCACACCGAGTACAGACAGTGGTGAACTGTGTCAGTGTGTGGAGCTACTGGCGTGTGTGTGTGTGTGTCTACTAGCGAGTGTGTGTGGGTCTACTGGCGGGTGTGTGTGTGTCTAGTGGCGAGTGTGTGTGTGTCTAGTGGCGAGTGTGTGTGGGTCTACTGGCGAGTGTGTGTGGGTCTAGTGGCGAGTGTGTGTGGGTCTACTGGGGAGTGTGTGTGGGTCTACTGGCGAGTGTGTGTGGGTCTACTGGCGAGTGTGTGTGGGTCTACTGGCGAGTGTGTGGGTCTACTGGCGAGTGTGTGGGTCTACTGGCGAGTGTGTGGGTCTACTGGCGAGTGTGTGTGGGTCTACTGGCGAGTGTGTGTGGGTCTACTGGCGAGTGTGTGTGGGTCTACTGGCGAGTGTGTGTGGGTCTACTGGCGAGTGTGTGGGTCTACTGGCGAGTGTGTGGGTCTAGTGGCGAGTGTGTGGGTCTACTGGCGAGTGTGTGTGGGTCTACTGGCGAGTGTGTGTGGGTCTAGTGGCGAGTGTGTGTGGGTCTACTGGCGAGTGTGTGTGGGTCTACTGGCGAGTGTGTGTGGGTCTACTGGCGAGTGTGTGTGGGTCTAGTGGCGAGTGTGTGTGGGTCTACTGGCGAGTGTGTGTGGGTCTAGTGGCGAGTGTGTGTGGGTCTACTGGCGAGTGTGTGTGGGTCTAGTGGCGAGTGTGTGTGGGTCTACTGGGGAGTGTGTGGGTCTACTGGCGAGTGTGTGTGGGTCTAGTGGCGAGTGTGTGTGGGTCTACTGGCGAGTGTGTAAAATTACTGTCTGCACAATGTCCTCCCTCCCCCATTCTCCCCTAGGAAAGTGACAGTGGAAGATCCCGAAGAGATATTTTAACCAGCAACATTTTTTTCTAATATGGAAACGAATAGGCCCTAAAATCGTCGTCGTATTTTCGTAATACACTTAAAAGCTATTTATAAATAGTGGGTAATTTTGACCACACTTTACATATCCATCCATGTATGCCGAAGTCACTGACAGAGTTTCTTCCTGGCGAAAATATATACTTTTAACAGTGTCCGCCCCCCCTCCCCCCCCCCCCCCGAAGAAAGTTTACCGCCCCCCCCCCCCAAGATTTCAAGTGCCCCCCCCCCCCCCCCGGAGAAAAAAGTCTGGAAGAAACACTGGTCACTGAAACAGATGAACCCTACTTCATCTGCCCCGTGTGTCATGTGAACTGGACGAATGGGAAAGGATTATAAATGGATTTCTTTATCTTGTAGCCTACCAAATTATTTAGAACTAGGCACAAGGTATATTAAAACTATTAGGTTAAGGCATTTAGATCTACTTGTAGTTATATTGTAAAAAACGTAAAACAAGAACGAGCAAAAGAGTTTTTTTTTAAACAACTTTCAAGCACAACTCCACGAACCTGCTAATCCCATCTGTGGTGAAAATATAACGCATACCCCATTGTCATAATACCACAATCCTAGCCCTACCCCACTGTCCTAAACATTACCACCCCTACCCCAGTGCCCTAACCACCACACCACCCCCACTGCCCTAACCATCACCCCCCCCCCCCCCCCCCACCGCCCTACCCTAACAGCACAGCCGTCTGTGTCCAAGTTTCAGCCATACACTAGCCTAGGATCTTACGTCGATAAAGTCGAGCGAAAAAAAATAGTTGGGCCGGTGTTAGGTCTGACAATACGAGGCTACAGTTGACTAGTTCCACCAGCACACATACCCCACCAGCACACATACCCCACCAACACACATACCCCACCAACAGACGATACAGGCAAATCTTACATCTTAAGGCCAGTACGTCTGTCAGTTGTGCAGGGGGTCTAGCTTCACCAACATTCGTGTTACACAATTTCGGCTGACACAAGATGCTGGCCACTGACCAACGCTTCGATAAGCCTAGGCGCTTGCAGACGATTGACACACGGAATAGACTAGCCCACGGCTAAGCAATAATACCACACAGTTAGATTAAGCACAGCCAGTTAGCACAAACTAGATCTAACAAAAACAGATTAATAATATTAAAATATAAAATCGAAGTTCTCCGTGTACAAGCATAGGCCTAGCTAAGACATTTTTTTTTATACAAAATCAATTAAACGTACCGAATTTTCCCCTAAATCTGTCCCAGCACAACACAGGCGACAGGCCACATTTAGGCCGAATAAGAATGAAATGCTAGAAATCCGAACAATCCAACGCTTCCATTACCTGCATTCAATCCCTCGACCCTTCGCTCAATGTGCGCTGTTGATAAAATGACACGACGGAAGGCGTGTCGTCGGGCCAGCACTGAGCGATTTTCTTCCTATGACGAGAACGAGGGCGAAACGTTGCATATTCAATAGACAATGGTTCTCACCAGCCTACGTCAGGCTCGGATCAATATCCGCGCTCGGCGGGTCTGTTAGATTCTACGGCCAAGCTCTGCAGTCGGTGAGTCAGGGACGAAAATAGATGATTACAGTTTAGACTGTTTTTGAAAATATATTGTGGATTTCCAAGTTGGGTAAAAATGTCCAGGCTAGTAGGGAGGTTCCATCTGCCCCGGGTAACGTGTCGTATCAGTCCAGATCAACTTGGGTCGATACCAGGGGCTGAGTAATTTTTACATCTCTCAGTGGTAGGAGAGGTCTTTGTTGTAAGCGGTTCCCGGTCTGTGGGCTAGATGCTTAGCGAGGGGTTTTGAGGGGTATAACTAGCAGGTTTAGCAAGCGAGTTTTGAGGGGTATAGCTAGCAGGTTTAGCGAGGGGGTTTTGAGGGGTATAGCTAGCAGGTTTAGCGGGGGGGGGGGGGGATTTTATGGGTATAGCTAGCAGGTTTAACGAGGGTTTTTTGGGGGGGGGGTATAGCTAGCAGGTTTAGCGAGGGATTTTTAGGGGTATAGCTAGCAGGTTTAGCGAGGGGGGTTTTATGGGTATAGCTAGCAGGTTTAGCGAGGGGGGATTTTATGGGTATAGCTAGCAGGTTTAGCGAGGGATTTTTAGGGGTATAGCTACCAGGTTTAGCAAGAGTTTTTTTAGGGGTATAGCTAGATCTTGTAGGATTAGCGAGGAAGTTTTGAGGGGCATAGCTTGCAGGTTTAGCGGTGGTTTTTAAGGGGTATAGCTAGTATACCTAGTATAACAAGTAGATTTATTGTGAGGGGACGGCCTTGGTCAAATGGTAGACCGTTTGACTGTTAACCTGAGTTCGAATCCTCAGGCAGGAGTGCATGGGATGTCGCTGAGTTCAACCAGCTCTAATAGGTACCTGACTCGTGTAAGGGAAGGCAAAGGCAGCTGGGCAAAGTGCATACTACACTATCCCTTCATATGCCTAGGTCACTGAAACTGTACTTCACTTGTCAATGAGCCGTAAGTTTTGAACATGTTTAGTGTTGGGACAAGAACATGTTCAGTGTTGGGTGGGGACAAGAACATGTTCAGTGTTGGGTTTGGACAAGAACATGTTCAGTGTTGGGTTTGGACAAGAACATGTTCAGTGTTGGGTTGGGACAAGAACATGTTCAGTGTTGGGTTTGGACAAGAACATGTTCAGTGTTGGGACAAGAACATGTTCAGTGTTGGGTTGGGACAAGAACATGTTCAGTGTTTGAACAAGAACATGTTCAGTGTTGGGACAAGAACATGTTCAGTGTTGGGACAAGAACATGTTCAGTGTTTGGACAAGAACATGTTCAGTGTTGGGACAAGAACATGTTCAGCGTTGGGTTGGGACAAGAACATGTTCAGTGTTGGGACAAGAACATGTTCAGTGTTTGGACAAGAACATGTTCAGTGTTGGGACAAGAACATGTTCAGCGTTGGGTTGGGACAAGAACATGTTCAGTATTGGGACAAGAACATGTTCAGTATTGGGACAAGAACATGTTCAGTGTTGAGACAAGAACATGTTCAGTGTTGGGTTGGGACAAGAACATGTTCAGTGTTGGGTTGGGACAAGAACATGTTCAGTGTTGAGACAAGAACATGTTCAGTGTTGGGTTGGGACAAGAACATGTTCAGTGTTGGGTTGGGACAAGAACATGTTCAGTGTTGGGTTGGGACAAGAACATGTTCAGTGTTGGGTTGGGACAGGAACATGTTCAGTGTTTGAACAAGAACATGTTCAGTGTTGGGTTGGGACAAGAACAAGTTCAGTGTTGGGTTGGGACAAGAACATGTTCAGTGTTGGGACAAGAACATGTTCAGTGTTGGGACAAGAACATGTTCAGTGTTGGGACAAGAACATGTTCAGTGTTGGGACAAGAACATGTACAGTGTTGGGACAAGAACATGTTCAGTGTTGGGACAAGAACATGTTCAGTGTTGGGACAAGAACATGTTCAGTGTTGGGACAAGAACATGTTCAGTGTTGGGACAAGAACATGTTCTGTGTTGGGACAAGAACATGTTCTGTATTGGGTTGGGACAAGAACATGTTCAGTGTTGGGACAAGAACATGTTCAGTGTTGGGTTGGGACAAGACTGAATTCAGTGTTGGTATAAGAACATGTTGAGTGTTGGAATAAGAACATGTTGAGTGTTGGAATAAGAACATGTTGAGTGTTGGAATAAGAACATGTTGAGTGTTGGGACTAGAACATGTTGAGTGTTGGGACTAGAACATGTTGAGTGTTGGGACTAGAACATGTTGAGTGTTGGGACTAAAACATGTTGAGTGTCGGGACAAGAACATGTTGAGTGTTGGGACTAGAACATGTTGAGTGTTGGGACAAGAACATGTTGAGTGTTGGGACTAGAACATGTTGAGTGTTGGGACTAGAACATGTTGAGTGTCGGGACAAGAACATGTTGAGTGTTGGGACTAGAACATGTTGAGTGTTGGGACTAGAACATGTTGAGTGTCGGGACAAGAACATGTTGAGTGTTGGGTTGGGACAAGAACATGTTCAGTGTTAGGTTGGGACAAGAACATGTTGAGTGTTGGAATAAGAACATGTTGAATGTTGGAATAAGAACATGTTGAGTGTTGGAATAAGAACATCTTGAGTGTTGGAATAAGAACATGTTGAGTGTTGGAATAAGAACATGTTGAGTGCATGAACCTAACGTCCACACAGATGTCACAAGGTCGCCAGCTTGAAGCAACTTGTCACACAAACGTCTGAACGTCTTTTGTCTACAACTCTAGCACTGGCATAAACTTCCACACCTCTTGGCTGACACGTTCATTGTGTGCAGTATAAAGATTTGACTTCAAATTTAGCTCTACGTTAGGTCTGGCATCCTATCACACCATTGGTCAGAAGAAATGGTAGGTTAAAATTAAATGTAATGAAATCAGTTGTTACTTTTTGTTAGAAGTAAGTATATAAACGAGGTGTTGACAAAAATGTTTAACATCACTTGGATTTAGCTAAGAGGTCCAGAACCGGTGTATGTACCTAGAGGTCGAGTATAGATGTTTGTAAGATTGGTGAAGATTTGTAGTGTGATTGTGTTTACTGCTCCAGTATAGATGTTTGTAAGATTGGTGAAGATTTGTAGTGTGATTGTGTTTACTGCTCCAGTATAGATGTTTGTAAGATGGGTGAAGATTTGTCGTGTGATTGTGTTTACTGCTCCAGTAAGATTGGTGAATATTTGTAGTGTGATTGTGTTTACTGCTCCAGTAAGATTGGTGAAGATTTGTGTGATTGTATCTACTGCTCCAGTAAGGGGTCATCCATTTATGACGTCCACACGCGGGGGGGGGGGGGGTGGTTCGAAAAAACTGACTTTTGTGGACGCATATGGACTTATATAAGGAAAAAAGTGGATTTTTGTGGACGGGGGGGGGGGGCGGGTCCAAAATTCAAAAAAATTGTAGACGTCATAAATGGATGACCCCTAAGATTGGTGAAGATTTGTGTGATTGTATCTACTGCTCCAGTAAGATTGGTGAAGATTTGTGTGATTGTATCTACTGCTCCAGTAAGATTGGTGAAGATTTGTGTGATTGTATCTACTGCTCCAGTAAGATTGGTGAAGATTTGTAGTGTGAGTGTGTTTACTGCTCCAGTATAGATGCTTGTTAGATTAGTGAAGATTTGTAGTGTGATTGTAAATTAGCTCCGACATAGGTGATTGTTATTATTGTACCTAGAGTGAAAACAGAAATTGTAACATGATTGAACGTGGTTTTAACTTCCCCTGCAGTACAAAACATCTAGAAGTCTTAGCAAATCTTGAACAACTAAACATTAGGCAAATCTTGAACAACTAAACATTAGGAAAATCTTGAACAACTAAACATTAGGCAAATCTTGAACAACTAAACATTAGGCAAATCTTGAACAACTAAACATTAGGCAAATCTTGAACAACTAAACATTAGGCAAATATTGAACAACTAAACATTACGGTTGATTGCACTACCGATTGTTTTTTAAAACACACAAAAAGATTTTCAGATAAATTTCAGATTCCAAGATCACATTTGTATTTGTTGAGGGATACGTTGACTTTCTTTGGCTTTAAAGCATTTACCTGATGGGGTGTGTGTGTCTTTTTTACTTTCTCGTATATACGAAGTATAGAGAAAGTATTGTAATCGTGCACAAAAATCACTTGAAATTTTAACAATTTTCACCGTATTACACCTCAGTCCTTTATCACATCCGAAGTATAGAGGACTTATTTTAATCGGGCAAAAATTATCAATCCAGATTTATCAAAATTAAGAGGTTTTATGCGTAAACCAGTCTGAAAAACAGGGCTTTGCAATTCTGTCCGTATGTCTGTGTGTGTGTCAGTGTGTAAACACGATTACTTGAGTACCGTTACAGCTAGGTTGATGAAATTTCATATATAAGTATTTTATCAAAATCGTAGATCCGTATCAACTTTTGAGCGATTTCCGATAACCGAAAGTGGTACTTTTTCTACTTTGAATTTTTAAAAATCCTATAACTTGAGTACTATTTCAGGTAGATAAATGAATTTTCACATGTAAGTAAAAGATCTAATTCTCTACCTTCTATCAAATTTTGAGTAATTTCCGTTGACCGGAAGTAGTAATTTACGCTACTTCCAATTTCTCAAAAACTAATGTAAATTTTTAAAGTACTAATAACATAGCGCACAATTATGCACATTTTGTTTTGGCGTTCGCTTGGTGCGCAATTCTTTTTTCTACGAGATTCTATTCTATTTTTAAAAGTTTAAGTAATTAAAAATCATGTCTATATTCCGAGTTATATAAGAATATTCGAGAAAGTTTAGGGGAGAACACTCCCGGTTTATTCTCGATTATTATTTGTAGTGAACGCATATGAAGAAGGACTATAGC